GAGAGAGAGAGAGAGAGAGAGAGATCAAATCACCTTTCAGTCCATCAGTGGCTTCGCTCTGCCATCCCTGATTCACAACAACCAAGCTCTCCTATAGGCTTCCTATTTTTGAAACTTCCGCCACCGCCTTGTGCGGTACTACTGGTACCGAAGGAAGTTTAGAAGTCAAACTTCCGCCAACATGGACAAATGAAAAGCAGAGATGGGAAGAGTCAGAGAAGAGAAGAGAAGAGAAGAAGAGAAGAAGAAAGAAGAAAGAAGATCAACAAAGAGAAAGTCTCAGAAGAAAGAAGATCCAGGTGCACGAAAAGGTAGGAAAGCTGCGAAACAGTGTGTTTTTCCAATGATTTGTGGCTCTGGAAGGTCCAAAAGTAGGCTCGCTAAAGCGGCGGGTGCGGGGCCATCTGGCCACATGAGAGATGACAAGTTGCACGCCGTCGCGGCGTGAAGCACATTTCCAAGTCAAAATGTACAAAACACACCACGTGCAGAGCACTTTTGGAAGTTGAGATGTTGAAAAGTGCACGCCGTTGTGGCGCAAAGCACATTTCGAAGTCAAAAGTGCAAAAAACTGAGGGGTACGGAGCACTTTTGGATGTTCAGATGTCGTTTTGCGTGGCAAGCGCCAGGATTGTGCACCTTGTCAAAAGTGAGCAAAACATGAGGGTTTTGTAGCAGTTTCAAAAGGGATGGCAGGCGTGGGGCACTTGAAGAGGATCTGGAAAGATGGATTTCGCGTGACAGGCGCGGTACAAGAGACATGTGTTAGGGGATCAGGGCGGAGATTTCCTGAGAGGAGTTGCATTTTGGAGCATCAGATCGTCAGTTTTGGGAAGATGATTTTGCGTGACAGGTGCAGCACTTCGTATGACCTGGCATCACTTTTTGGTGGCAGGCGGTGTACTTTAGACAGGTGGAGAGGAAAAATCGGAAAACGCATTGGTAGGCTGCACTCAACGTTCCATTCTTGAAGGAAGTCTCGCAGAATTCTTTCGTTTTTGATCTTGCCAACTTGGAAAATTGAGGAAGTCTCAGAACTGCTTCGTTTTTGACGTTGTCAACTTCAAAAATTGAGGAAGTCTCACAGAATTGCTGCGTTTTTGACGTTGTCAAGCTCAAAAATCGAGGAAGTCTCGCAGAATCGCTTCGTTCTCAAGCTTGCAGATAGACAGATAGATGGATCAAAAACTACAGCTACCCCTACCACTACACTACAACTGCATCTACAACTACAAAGTAACTACAGCTACAACTACATTGCACTACACTACGCTAATTACAGTACACTACATTACAACTACAACTACAACGACAACTACAACAACAACAACAACAACAACAACAACAACAACAACAACCACGACGACGACGACTACCACTACCACTACCACTACCATACCACACCCACTACCACTACACTACCACGAACCACTTCCACTACTTACTACCACTCACTACTACTACCACTACTACCACTACGACGCACCACTACCAGCACTACCACCACTTCCACCACTACGCACCACTACGCACCACTACCCCTATAGCTGCACCGCCTTGCCAAGTGGGCTAGTTGACTAAAACCACAATACCAAAACTCACGACCACCAACTACCACCACTACGCACCACTACCAACTCCTACCCCACTACCACCACACCACCACTACACTACTACCATCTACTACCGCGCTCCTCCCCAAACCCCCACCACACTACCCTCCAACTCCACTGCTACCCTGACTACCACTACTAACCACTACCACTACCACTACCACTACCTACTACACTACTACTACTACTACTACTCACTTCACTACGACTGACTACTACTACTACATGACTTCCTGCTCCTGCTCCTGCTCTGCTCCTGCTCCTGCTTCCTGCTTCTGCCTCCTGCTGCTGCTTGCTGCTGCTGCTACTTTCTTAGCGACTGCTGTCTACTTCTACTGCTGCTACTGCTGCTACTGCTGCTACTGCTGCTACTGCTACTACTGCTGCTACTGCTACTGCTGCTGCTGCTGCTACTACTACTACTACTACGACTACGACTACGACTACGACTACGACTTTGACTACGACTACGACTTTGACTACGACTACGACTACGACTACGACCACCACCACCACCACCACTACTACTACTACAACTACTCAACACTACCTTACACTAATTACACTACACTAAAGTAAAACTACAACTACACGACGGGTGAGGTGACCACTGCAACCATTGCAACCACTCCAAAAAAAACAACTCCAACCACCTTTGAATTCGCTCTGCCATCCGTGATTCACAACAATTCACCTCTCGTATAGGTTTCCTGTTTTTGAAACTTCCGCCACCGCCTTGTGCGGTACTACTGGTATCAGATTTCTACATATATATATATACATATACATATACATATACATATACATATACATATATATATATATATATCATATATCTATGTCTATATCTATATCGATATCTATATATATATATATCTGTTAGTGGATGACCATCCAGCAATACGCGGAAATAGCTGTGCACAAGGTACAGCCAGACCTCCGGGGCCAGGTAGCCCAAGGTGCCCAGACAACCCTTCAGCTGGTCAAAGCCTGGCACGAAACTGCTCCAGCGGCACCGCTGCATGCAGCATGTTGCGCCTTCCCCAAGCATCAGCCGTTTCGCCTCAAGGCATTTCTGTTTTCCCGGACACATCCCATGGAAATGAAAGGAAAACATGGAAAAACGGCAAACTGTAGATATGGCTGCACATAAAACCTCTAAGTCAGCGACGGAAAAGCCAAAATCGATGAGTTTCAAGACCTTCCTCTCTGCTTCATAGACCCAATTGCGAGGCTTGATATCACGGTGGACGATGCCAGCACTGTGAATGTAGCTCAAGACTCTCAGCATTTGGACAGCGGCTTGCTTAAAGTCTTCTTCTGCAAACTCTTTATGAAGAGCATCTTGGAGTGTGCCTCCACTGCAGTATTGCATGATCAGACTCAGCTCTTCCTCATCCTCATAAACATCAAACAGCCTTGCAATATGCGGATGTTCCAAAGATAAGTAAATTATCGCTTCATTCTTCAGTTTTTCCAAATGGTCTGGCTTCATGGCTTTCAAATTAAAGCGCTTCACGCATCGAAGATTTTGAGGTCTTCCAAACTCATGCAGGCGTCGACATAGCACAACATCACCGCTGAAACCACGTCCAATGACTGCCGGCGGATCGGCGGTGTACTCGTAGTCACAGAGGAAATTCTTTTTCCAGTGAGTCAAACATGCCACCAACTCCAATGACAATTTCCGCTGACTCACCAAACCATTCACTTCTTCTGATATGATCGAAGTCTGCCGGTGGCATCGAATTTCCAGAGACTGGCCTGACCAGTCTTTGGAATTGTGGCCATATTTGACACTAAGCCGTTTCCGGTTGATGATCTTGCCTAGGTCCACAGGTTGATCACCTGAGATATTTTTTTCAACCAACGGCGTGCGAGCTCTCGCAGGCAAATCTCCAAGCTGATCCATCTTCAGTGCCAAACGCACAAGCTGCAAACGAAAACCGTTGTTGGATAACACAGTCCCACGTAGACTTTGTACATGTTCCAGTGCTTCTAGCAGACAGTATCCTTCTCTCTGCACTAGCCAACAAACCACCATACAAGCAGATCTGTTGTGCCCCGCCTGGCAGTTTACCAGCACCTTCCGGTTTTCATCTTGGCATTTCTCCAGAAAGCGCTCGCAGGATGGCCAGGACATGTCCACAATATCGAAGAAGAGCCGATCCTCAGAGTCTGCCTCCAAGTACTCCACATCGTGTTGCCCAAAAAGTGACACAAGATCCGTGCCCTCAGGCAGCAAAGCCTGTAGCTCCCACCAGCCTCAAATCGAAGCATTTTGAACCATACATAACCATACAGAAATCCATGAACATTCAATAAAATCCAATGAAACTTTCAGCTTCCAAGTGAGCCCCACACGTTTTTTGAACTCTGTCGACTCATGTCGACTCCCTCTGAGGCTATCATACATTATCCATCTACAAATGGGCTCCAGACCAATGAGGTTGAGCACAGCTCCGATTCCACGGCTGTCCAGGAGCTCCAGGTCCGTTGCATCAGCCAAATCACCAAGGAAGAGCCAGTCCAAAATCCTACAAAATTTAGAAAATACATCAACAGATATCAACAGAATCAACAGAATCAACATGTCAACATATACTATTAATATATATATACTAAGATGATGATGTAAGTGATGTAATTGAATACAATTTAATGCTAGTGACTAGTGACAATCATACAGCCATAATCACTAACACTCACACACAGGCGTCACATGCAAATGTGAAATCTAAGTGCCGCAGGAAAGAAAAACGAATGTGCCAAAGTGGTTGTCCTTGCAGGTTGCTCGCCCGGCCTGCAAGACAACTGCAACGCAGGAATTCTTCAAGCCACGCTGAAATCAGAAAACTCTCATGAGGCCGGGGCTTCCAGAATCTCCAAGGAACTGTGTCCAGCACAGAAGACCTCACAAGCGAAGAATGAATTCGGTTGATAAAGGATGATTAAAGTATATGCGCCTATTCAGAAGGTGATTCAAATATCTGTCTTCGTTTTCCCTCAGCAAACACTTTTGCAAGTTATCGTATGATCAATAACTGCAAAAAGAAGCACCTGTACCTGAACCCTTTTTGCTGAAGGCAACACTACTTTCATGGCTTACCTGGAGGCTTACCTTGTGCCTCTTGTTTTTTGCAGTTCTACTTGAACCTTCCTCACCCTTCTTCTATATCTAAATGGAGCCTAGTTGGTCAAGACCGCATCCTGATCTTGAGGATGCGGCACTTTGTCAAGAGCCTGCCTTGGTACTGCGCAACAATCATAATCAAAAGACTAGCTGAAGCTGCTTGATTGAAGACTCAAGACTGTGAAGTGGTGCCATTCAACCAGACTCTTTGCCTGCACTAGATGAATCTAGAAGAAGTGGAACCGCTACGACGAAATTGACAAAGTTTTCTTCGTCTCTTCATGGGAAATGAGCTGCTTGCTGCTCTTGAGATGAAAGAGGCTGGAGTTTCATTTCATCTTCGGCTCGAACACAAGCACGACCTTAAAGAGCTGAAAAAAAAAGTATAGAGCACCCTGAGCACAGACTCCACTGATTTTCTTTTCCAGAAACCGGAAGTCTTGCGAGGGGAACCCAGCAACTCTCGACTTATTTGAGCAGCTCTGTGACTTCATAGTAACCTGTACCGCCTGTACCCCATCTTGCGGTAACGGCAATCAGGAGGATGAGTACATAATGGGCCCGTTCTGAGGTCCAATCACAGCAGTCGATCACCCGCACTCTTTGTGAGTTCCTGACAAAAAAAAAACATTCCATGGACGAGAGTGACAAGAGGAAATGCCAGCATGCTGTGTTTCAGGATAACGATTTGAATGAAGAAGTTTAAGAAGTGTTTTGCAAACCTAAAAGACGTGTCTCCTACACATGGGACCATTCCACTCTTCGATTCGTGTACGGCGTGTGCGTCGTGTACGTCATGTACGCTGTCCTCTGTCCGTCGAGCACAGGATTTGCACTGGCCAAGAGGACCTGGGAATCGTGCCTGGCAAGATTCTGTCTTCTCTCAGCATTCTGCAACGCATGCAACACATTGCAACACCAATGTAGTCCATTGGTTTTAAAGGTCTGTGAAGACACCCACTCTAGAAATATCGAAAACCTGCTTGAGAGTAGATTCAGTGAACTGTTGTCTGACGACATCAGTGCGTTCCAAGCTGGCCTGGTTGTATCCCGAGTCTCAGTATGAGGTCGTCATTTCCCTTTGGGTTTGTTAGTTTGTTATGGTTTGTTGGCTTTGCCACTTTGGGGGTCCTTAAAAACATGACGAATGACAAATGACGAATGAAATCCACCTGCTTCCCTCTGGTCACCAACTTTGGCCTAGAGTTGTGGCCTCAGCAAAGTTGTGATCGACAAGTTCTCATTGGTCGAGGTTTCAGAGGTCTCAGCTTCCAACGTTTTACCGCAACTTCGTCTGTACCTAACAGAGCTTGACATACAAATGAAATCTTAGGAATCAAGAAAAAATCATGAAAATCAATGGATCTCAATGGATTTCAATTGCAAAGAAAAACATAGAAAACAAATGAAAACAAGTCAATCGCGCCAGGCCTTTGAGTCGCGTGGGCCACTGCAGACATGGCCTCACATGGAAACGAGGAACATTGGAAGCCTGGGGTCATGATACACAACCAATCACAACCACACCCTCGTTCAAGCTCAATACCAACTTGAGGCCGGGGGTGGATGACGAAAGCTAGCGGGGTAGGAGAAAGAAGGAAGGGAAGAGGTGAGTTGCGGAGGGACTGTCATCATCGTGTCGCGGCATTGTTCGTCCCAACGAGGATGCAACAATGATATATTGATATATGATATATAACAATGATATATATGGGGGAGGGGGCAGGGGGGGGCCCTTTCGCGGGAAAAATCACGTGATGTCCTTGGGGAGCCCCGGAATACGTGCTAAAGCAAGAAGACTCTAGCGAGCTGACGCTAGCTTTCGTGATAATGCCAATAATTGCCAATAATGATAAAATGTAATTGAGTAACGATGATGATGATGATGATGATGATGATGATGAATGATGAATGGTGAATGGTGAATGGTGAATGGTGAATGGTGATGGTGATGATGATGATGATGATGATGACGACGACGACGATGACGATGACGATGACAATGACCATGACGAGGACGATGATGATGATGATGATGATGATGATGATGATGATGATGATGATGATGATGATCGTGAAAAATCACGTGATGTCCTTGAGCAGCCCCCGGAATACTTGCTAAAGCAAGAAGACTCCAGCTAGCTGACGCTAGCTTTCGTGATTTTCTGAGGCTTCCACAAGAGTGAAAAAGGGTACAGAAAGAAGGAACCCATGACAACTCCACAGGCTGTGATGTATCGGATATTATATGTCTGTATATATATATATATATGGTTCTTAAATATGTAACCTGAAATCGACGTTCTGCTCCTTTCGTTTGCTAGGACCAGGACAACACTGGCTGTTGAAATTATCCTTTTTGATTTGTCTTGCATCTTATTGCCATCTTTTCTCTGCAAGCCCTTGAGCCAAGAAACTCAAAAGCAAACAGGGTATCATACTGTGCGATTGTCAGCTCCACTATTGTCGTATTTGTCATGGTCAAAACATGGTGTATGGGGTATGGTCATCCCACCATCATGAGGGACTTCTTACAATTCTTAGTATATATCAACCATTATTCATCGGGGGATGATTTGTTGCTTTTATGGCAAAGTATGAGAGCTCAGCACATGACAATGATTCACATCTTACAAAGGAGCTGAACAAATCTCTTTGATATTCATCTGAAACCAATCAGCATTCACACCCCGGTCCCTCGAAGTCGGCCCTGATGTCTCTAGCACTCGTTCCAACGACACCAATTGCCTGAAGGTCAACAGGTGATCTGACCAGCATGGAGCGAAAAAGAAAAGTTTGACAGAATATGATAGAATGCAGATTACTCATGCTGGTGCTTAAGCACGAGTGGATGAGTGAAACAAAGTGTAAGGTGTAAAGGAAAGGTTTTTTGAACGTTTTTGGAATGCAAAGTTTTCATGGTCAATGGTTTCATATTTGACGCTGTGATAGCGTCAGTGCAGAGAGCGCCCTTGGACAGTTCGCACACAAAGACCAGATATGAAATAGTAACTAGCAGCTACCCATAGCTACCCATGCTACCCATAGCTACCTTGTTGAATATGCAGACTGAAGAAAACCTTGCATAACTTTAATTAATATGATATCTGGATGGAACGAGCACACAGCTGACAATAAGGCTAACACTTCTTCTGCGCAGCTGAGATGAGCTTCAGGGTCACGACAAATTCCTCCCAAGCCAGCCCTCGCTTCTGCCAGTCCGCGATGTCCCAAATTCGCTTCAGGATCTGGCGTGCAGTGATAGAGCCACAAAGGAGCAAGTCGTGCAATGTCAAATCATGTCAAATCATGTCAAATAATGTCATATGTTCATACTTCTATGGCAGCGAACAAGTTGGATGGTCTCGAGATACCTGCCTCACGCGGCAGCTGTGACTTGGAGAGAAAGTCAAAGGCTGCCTCTCCCGTTCGACCAACACTTGTTCAACACTCGCCCACGTGATTGATTCTGTTCAGTTCTGTTCAGTTCTGTTCGGTTCTGACCAGTTCTGATCAGTTCAGCTTGCATTGTTTTCTTCAGAATCTGTTGATCAACATGCGCCTTCCCTCGGAGAATGTCTCCCTGAACACATGCTGATTGCCAGAGGACAGTGTAGTACCTGCAGACAAGAAGCATCAAATGTATCAAAATGCCCGACACACAGTCCATTCCAAGTATTCAAACATACTCAATCTAGGTCTTCCTGCAATTGGTCACTGTCACTGATGAGCAGAGCAGAGCGGAGCAGGGCGGAGAGTAGCCACAAACTTGCGAGGGCACTCCTTCTCCACATTACTGAGGGACTGTGCAGTTCGAGAGAATGCTTGACCATCCTGATGACAAACGGTTTCAAACGGATCAGGGAAGCTTGCTGCAAATCTAAAGGACCAATGGTCTCAACCGGAGCAGCCTGGACGAGGTTCTCCATCTGCCTAAGGAATATCTGAATGTCGCATGAAGAATCATGTTCCATCATGGTCCAATGTAGAATCGACATGATTTGTCACACGTACAATACATCCAGTGCCCCTGAGACACAAACGTTTCCTGGCTCGAGCGGCTCGGGGGCCTACAGCGCAACCATCAAGTGACTCCACGGCTCTTGGGAGTTTTGCGTATCGACCTTCAACGCCGTGCCGCCCCATTCGACATGCAGGCTGGAGCAGGCGTCGCCATCAAATACGAAGCAGACTGTGTAACAGACTACAAACATCTGCAAAAACATCTGCAAGAACATCTGCAAACAGAATCAAAAAATATTGTGAAATATCAAGAACAGCACAGCTCCAAAGACGGACTTGGTGCGAATGCCCTGATCAACTGCATTCAATAGCCACATAAGTCACATGACGCTTTGGATTCTGGGCTGAAAGTGGCCTTCGATCAAACAAACCTTTCTGCACTCTTTGGCCGAGACAGCTGCACAACTTTGATTTTGAAGACAGCGAACGTTGCTTCCAAACTCCTGCTAGACATCTGGCTAGACATGTTTTGGACACGCGGTTGGATCAACACCCTACAAGACCAAAGAAACGTGGGCTTGCAGCATCTTTCCACGCAGGACAGTCTGTACGTCTGTGTGCTTGAGCCTGGATAGGTGAATCTACACTTTGGTAATCCACACTTCTTTGAGACTCTACCGGTAAACGTAAAACAGCTTCCCAACTTCTTCGTCAGCGCCTTCCAAGGCTACCAAGCTACGGAGTTTCAGTATCACAAGTCATCACGGCGGATCGAAGAGCCAGAGCTTCTCCACAATTTCCAGGGGAAATATCGTGAATACATGTGAATATCACCTATTATCACCGAGAAATCTACATCACTGGCTGCCTTCTTTGAGTTCATACGTGCTGGGGGCAAAACTAGGCATTCTTGGGAGATTTGCAAGCCATCCTACAGGGTTATATAAATTGTTCAATCTCTGTCGCTTGCTTCTCTGATCCCTGATGATCCCTGTGTTGCTTCCAAGCCGCTGTCTCATCTCTTGTTTTTGGTCGAACCTTTCTCCTTCGACTCCTTCGAATCATTCGGCTGCGGCTTTGTCTCTGCCTCACCATCCTCCGGCTCATGAACACATGATGGCTACTGTGGAAGCAGCAAACCTGGCCTCTGGAAAGTCTGAGTCTGGCAAAGCCATAACCTCAACCAGAGGTTTACGGGGTTTATGGGCTTTTGGCAAGCTGTTCGGAATGCTGGAGAATTGCAGTTGGGGGCGAAGCGTTCCTCTGCCAGATGAACCTCTGATTGTCAGCTGCAAAGTGTCCAAAAGTGTCCAAACGGAGCAAAGAAAGGTCTCTGAGTCATTGTTGAACCGAGACTCCAGATGAGCGCAAAGAAACCCACAAGCCAAACCACATACCTTTGGCTGCACTCAACAACTGCAAGTTTCCTGGGCAAACATATTATATAATATAGTATAATATATATTATATATATTATATCTATATATATATATATATTTATTTATTTATCTATCTATCTATTATCTATTTATTTATTCAAATATCTTTACGCGTCACTTTGAATATTCACACATGCTTCACACGGCAGCTTTGCAATGTAACTCCCACCTACATGTCAATGTCCTTATCGGATAACACTAAGCTTGACCTTCTCGCCTTTGCAAACAGATTTGAGCGCAGATACTCTGTCCAATCAGAAGCTGATCCTTCAAAGCCCTGGCCGATAGCCCTGAGGCCGGAGGGTGACCGAAACCAATCCATGTGATCCGTCGTTCTTGTGCAAGGCGCTGGTGGTCACTGTGGGAATCCTATCTTCCAAATGTGCTACAACATGCCGTTGGAACTTGCAACTTTGGCTCCGACCAGATGTTCAGCGATCCTACTGGACGTTGAATGACCTGCCCATAACGGGAAAATGCAATGTCTCCGGTATCGTTGTTCTGCGATTCAAAGGAGTCGTCGCGCTCATGATCAACAAACAGCATACCGCAGGACGCCCGCAACAGTTCGAGAAATAAATAGGGACGCTTAAATTCAGCACAGCTGCCAAAGCCATGCAGAGCCGTGCAGAGCCATGCAGAGCCAAAGAAAAGCAAATGTCAAAACACGACAGAGGTGTCAAACATTCCAAAACACTTCGTGCCTGGCCATCCATTGTAGCCACAACGCGGGATCCAATAGTGATTTGGTCTGTGCCACGATCTTGAATGAATAATTTCATAAATTTCATCATCCTTTGTGCCTGTCACGTGTCTAGAACTGAAAGAGGGATTGGGGATACAAAGGCTGAAATGTGGCCTTGGGAATGTTGTGCCTGTTAATTTCTATTTTATAATGCATTGACGACACAGTCGGGCAATTAACTCGGAAACACCCATGCGTGCAAATCCGCAGAGCATCTCAAGACCAACATGTTCTGCAACCATGGTCCTCTGAGTCCAACAGCCTCATGTCATGGAAAAGTCACCACATATCAGACATATCACCTTTCGGTCACCTTTCACGAAGTCGTCACTTGTTGTGAGACTGATACGATGGGCTGACGTCCAAGTTCTCGACTTGCAGGACTAAGCTGCAAAAATGAAGAGTGAGGCTAAAAGAATCATATGGTCAAACCGTTTAAACATTGTTTAAACCGTTATTTCATCTTATTTCGTTAAAACATGTTTAAAGTTTAAACATTTTATAAACAAACATGTTTAAACCATTTTGAATTCATTGTGTCATTATTATGTCATTATTATGTCATTATTATGTCATTATTATGTCATTATTATGTCATTATTATGTCATTATTATGTCATTATTATGTCATTATTATGTCATTATTATGTCATTGTCATTGTTGTGTCATTATTATGTCATTGTTATGTCATTATTATGTCATTATTATGTCATTGTTATGTCATTATTATGTCATTGTTATGTCATTATTATGTCATTATTATGTCATTATTATGTCATTACTATGTCATTATTATGTCATTATTATGTCATTACTATGTCATTATTATGTCATTACTATGTCATTATTATGTCATTATTATGTCATTATTATGTCATTGTTATGTCATTGTTATGTCATTGTTATGTCATTGTTATGTCATTATTATGTCCTTATTATGTCATTATTATGTCATTATTATGTCATTATTATGTCATTATTATGTCATTATTATGTCATTATTATGTCATTATTGTGTCATTATTATGTCATTATTATGTCATTATTATGTCATTATTATGTCATTATTATGTCATTATTATGTCCTTATTATGTCATTATTATGTCATTATTATGTCATTATTATGTCATTATTATGCCATTATTATGTCATTATTATGTCATTATTATGCCATTATTATGTCATTATTATGTCATTATTATGTCATTATTATGTCATTATTATGTCATTATTATGTCATTATTATGTCATTATTATGTCATTATTATGTCATTATTATGTCATTATTATGTCATTATTATGTCATTATTATGTCATTATTATGTCATTATTGTGTCATTATTATGTCATTATTGTGTCATTATTGTGTCATTATGCTGACTTTTATGGATACTCGGCTTGTCGGCTTGTTCGGTGGAATGTCTGCCCATCTCATGGCGGACAGTGCCGGTCCTTCGGACGGGCACTGACGGGCACTGCTTGTCCTTGTTTTTTCTGGCATCCAGAATTCAGAAAAGTCCATTTTAGCAGAAAATACCACAAATCATACAAAATATACAAATCACACTTCATTCATCTTCATTCAACTTCATTCAACTTCATTCTCTAATTTCTATAGAGGTGAAACATGCTAGATGGTCAGGGGAGGCAGGTCTCTGGCCTGCCCAAATCGTTTTGAAGGCATCCAAGGCATCCCTGAGTGCTCTGCGGTGGAGTGCTCTGCGCCTTTTTGGTCAGCGCCTTTCCTGTTGCCTCACACCGGCAACAAATGGAAACGAAACGAGTTTTCGAAAAAACCTTCAAAACATGACTCAGGATGACTTAGGGCTACAGACCGTCCATTCGTAGACTTGAAGGTCTTTCAAAGCCTGGAGCCACTGCGATTCCCAGCTTTTCCCAGGAGGGTCGACACTCAGAGCATCTCAGAGCTGTGTTATTGGTGGCTTTGAATCTAAGATGTTTAAAAACTATGCTAATTACGAAATCAAATTCTGGCGGACTTGTCTAGTGGTTCAGGCCGCAAGGAATGATATACTTTGGGAGCGTCTTGTCGCAAATCGCCTCTGCCATAGATTGATGTTGTGGAGTCACCCTTTCATCCTGAACAAATGTCACTCGCACATGTACATCTCTTCAAATTGCTTTGCGCAGACTTAGCAGCACATACGAGCGCGTGTGAATGTGTAGGAGAAGGAAACAGAGACACAGCGAGAGAGAGAGAGAGAGAGAGAGAGCGAGCGAGCGAGCGAGAGGGAGAGAGAGAGAGAGAGAGAGCAAGAATCTTCACTTAGATTCATCACATGCAGCACAATTGCTAGATAGTGATTGCACCTGAACGACTTTTCCAGCAAAAGGCAGCTGCAACGCAGCAAGGGTGTCTTGAACAGTCAGAATGGCAAGGAACGCTCCAATGTGAATCTATGGCAGTGTTGGCCACTATGTAGTGCTTGAGGGATGGTAGAAGTTTTGGGCGCGAACTCCCCAACGAGCAGAGCTTGTTTGAATGAACTTTCATGCTGCCCCGGAAGAAGGTTTGGACAACGTTCCAAGTCACCATTTCCTTGTAAAAATGCGACTAGACATTCTCCCAATGCAGCTTGCACGAGCAAGGAAATTGGGAGCATATGAGGACCTGACTAAACACGCCATGATTGAAACACGCCCCTAGCAGAGCTAACTGGAGCAAAGTAAAACACAGCCAAATTGGCACCAGAAATACGCTCGTGGCACAAAGCCGGCTTCAAGCGAGTTTCCAGCTTGTCTAGATACCAGCCACGTGACCATTGCACGGCCCTGCATTGTGGTACAAGTGTTCCTGAATTGATGGCTACCCTTCAGGAATCAAACATGCAAAGGAAAAGCCCAATTCGTAGCGGAACAACTGCAAAAACACTGTAAATGAATATATATATATATATTATATATATATATCTCTTTATATAGCTGGGGTGATGTGTATTTTCCAATGCCGTTAGTTCCTGCACGGTAGCCTTGTGGATGGGCACGTGGAAAATTCTGGCAGAGAGCTAGACAGAAATTCTGGTCACATCTGGGCACTGCTCCAAGCGCAGTTGGCGCAGAGAGCAATTCCCTGGTGACATGTTGACATGAAGACTAATGGAATCTCGCAGGCAGAGCAAGTTGCTGTGAGAGCAAATTGCTGGCCGTGCACAAAAAAATACGCGGTTGCAGCGGTTGCAATACGATCAATATAAAGAACCTTTTTGCTGCTTTTTCTTTAAGGTTCTTTCTTTGGAGTACTCAGCACATCTCAGAACATCTCAGAACATCTCACGTCGCACTACAAATCAAAGACAAGCCTGGCAGGGAGAATTTGATCGCCTCCCCGGCATCACAATGGCATCTGTCCAGTAGACACTATTCAAATGTATTCAAATGTATTGAAACGTATTCAGTATACATCAGTATACTAGGTCCTGGCATGTCCTGGCATGTCCTGGCTACTAGATCTACTAAGTCTACTAGGTCATCTGAACACCCTTAATGTGAGTCTTGAATCGTGAAGCCCGTGGAAGCTTTAAAGGTTGCAAGACCAGCAGCACACGCCTTTGGTAGGGTCCAAGACTGGGATTTTCTTGCCTTAGTCCGGCTACGGATCCACGGATCCATGGATGCTTGTTTGAGGCATGAAATCCTTTCGCGCCTGGGCAGCGCTTGTTGTGGTGGTTGAAATTCTGCAGATGCCTCCAAATTGGATTGGTATTCCGTCACTGACAATGCATTCATCTCCCCAGACAATAACACCTATGTAGCCAACGGGAAAAAATGATGGGAAAGCAAGTCATACATGAAGTCATGGATCAGCAATGCACATCAGCCCGAATGTGCAAAATTCCCCAAGGGTTATTGTAGATGCCATAGGATTCAATAGAGAAAAAGGGAAAAGCAGAGAGAGCGAGAAAGAGAGAGAGAGAGAGAGGCAACGAGTGCCAATACTTTGCATGAAGAGCCGCAGTGTCTTTTGAATGAGGCGAGGCATGCAATGTCATTTTGATTCCTTTCAACACATCCCACATTAACAATCGTGATCTGCGGAAGTTGCCCGTGAAGCTGTGAAGCCATGAATCCTGCCTCCCAGGCCAAGTGAAAGCGGTATTGATTCAATTGATCCGAAAGTGGGATTGGCGATGGTGCTTCTTCCCTTCCACGGTATCCAGGCACGTCGTGCTGCCAATACCAGGCGCCGGGGATGCCTGGAATGGGGCTGTTTGGGATGCCTTGGCCAACGGCGCCAACAGCGCCAACAGCGCCAACGGCGCCAACGGCGCCTTGCCGCGTGCCTTGCCGCGTGCTTTGCCGCGTGCTTTGCCTCCCAAGGAACTCCTCCTCAAGGCCAGAGTAACCGCTGCTGCCGTGGGAGAAGCTGTTTCTGCTATTTACCACCATGCCGTGGCCGATGGGATCATTCGCCGTGGCCGAAGAAGCCCTATCGGCGAACCAGGTCGCCCGCCCGGAAGAGCCTGCGAGAAAACGAATCTCGTGGGACAGAGATTTGCAAACCGAGTTGAACTGTTAGTCCGCAATGTGGGTGCAATGATTGATCGCAAGTGGCCCGACACAGGTTGTTTGATGCACAGAAATCCAACACCGCTTGAAACATTTCACTTACAAGATCGCGAACCAATACATGGATACCATCTCTTGTCGGATTTTCCGTTTCTTACATTTGAATTTTCAACACATTGAGGTATTGCCGCGTTTGGATTCAAAGCATCTCGAACATTACGCTCATGCTGCACATGGTCAGTGCCCCAGCTGGTCCTGAAGTACTCGATTGACATTCAATAACCTAGATGCAAAATGCAAAAATATGCAAAATAAAGAGGAAAGAAAAAGGAAAAAATCAGAGGAAAACATAGGAACAACCGTTGAACAACCTCCCAATTCGCAAAGAGTCAAACTTCAAATGCCCTGAGGTCCCCTGCGTCACCCCCCGACAATGCGCTACTTTCGCGGTCCTTGGTGACCAGCACGGCTTTAGGGATGGCTTTGCTGGGGTTTGATGATGATTTC